TTATTTATTGAATTGGTATTTGACTGCGTTTGATTATGCAAAGTATTTACAGCAACTAATTAAATACTCGGTTGTGTTCACTTGACCTGCTTACCTAGCCACCGGAGTGGCGTAAATCAAGGCGAAAACAGTGCGAGCGGAAACGCGAGCATTGTGACCAGAAACGTTACAAACGTTGGATAGCCTGGCCAATCCACGTAATCCAGGTAATTGTCGTAGTGACACATTCGACACTTTGAAATCAGAAAAATCATGCAGATATCTGGAATTTTGAACTGTCTACATGTTGTGAACTAGAATTGTCATCAATTTCTTCCTACGGTTGTGCATAATAGACTGTTGTTTCAACCATGAGATCACATTCTTTCAGATTAGTTAATCTTACCTTTTATTGATGAATTTCAGTTCATCTTCTTAAAGTGAGATATCTTTATCTTCTAAAATTTATATCTTCTACTTATCTTATCTTTTAAATTTCAATTCATTTTCATCTACTGAGATAAATGCTGATCCTTCAACATCTTATCTTCGAGACATCGCGTTCGTAACACTTCTTTTAAAGAAACTTAAAAACAAATTTAGTATAGTCAAAGCTCGGTTTACGAACACAATTCGTTTGCTCGTAAATCGAACACTTCGTAAACGGAAGCACAATTTTCTCCAACAATCGAATTTATTCACTGGAGCCGACCCAATTGTAAATTTATAGCGATATCAGTAGTTTCATTGATCAACTGTTCCCAGGGTTTGAGTGAATGAAAACATGATGAAAAGTGAATGAAAACATTTGAGTGAATGAAAACTGTAGCCAGGTCTCCTTCGAAAAATCTCGGAAGATGTTTCGAAAGATTGTCTCATTATCAACCTTTAGCGCCTTTCATCACCAACTGATTATGAGTTACGAGTTTCGTATGGCACCAAAGGATCTTCTGATGAAACATGGCCGTTAACCAGTTCTTGTTCTAAAATCTACACAGATGAAACGATCTCCTCACCGTTGTTGCAGAAGCTTTTTCGAGAATGCAGTTGTCTTCTGTTCGTGTAGAACAGCAACATTTTGAGTAACGAAAATCAGAAAATGTATTGCTCCGAAACTCAAAACTGATTGAAGTGTGTATTGAATGCTGTTCCATAAGCCTTAAACTTCAAGAAAAAATCTTATCATAAGTAATCTCGTACATCTAATTTTGCCTGAGAGAGTGATGAAGCATTCCTTAATTCTAATCAAAAAAAACTGTAAACCGAGCAGTATTCGGTAACCGAGACAAACTTTAACCGAGAATTCCGTTCTTCAATCAACTCAATTTGAGCAGATATTAGCGAATATTGGTGAATATCAAACATCAGCAGTTCAGTCTGCCAGTGTCCGTTATTCGAAGGATCTCAAGTCTGCAAATCAAACTGAGGTGCAACAAAATACAAAACAAGACCTTCAACACAATACTGACCAGGTGAGTTTCATATGCGCACCTACTGATTGCAGATGGAGTTTTGTAAACAACACATCGACTATAAGCAGTTTTTCAGTTTCACTTTTAAATGCACCTTTTTCAAGCAAAATTGTCACCTCTCAAAAATCGTTATTCTGAATGTTTGCTCCCTGACCTTATTCATGGAATACTTACCTCCCTTCTCACACATATTGTTTATTAATTGCGAAATTATTATAATACTCATATTTTTACTGCTCTCCTTAGTGCTTTATTTGTTTATTTTCATTTCTCTATTTCTTCATTTTCGTTTCTGTCCAGCAATGACTTAGCATTATGCTGGCAATCTGTGTACTTTACCTTTATACACTGCACGTGCTAATTAGAATGAATTGTTCGAATATATTTGGCGCAAAAGTGAACCCTAACTGTTTGGATATCAAGTGAAGAGAGATCGACCTTGTATTTGGACAAGATGAGCTGAACATGCGATGATTCCAGTAATCGAATCATTGAGGAAGGTTGCTTCTCATTCGCAATGTGCAAACGAATGCTCTCATTCATTGCTAACTAGGTGATAATTCCAGTCCAATTATTCATGTATTACTCTTCAGACATAACAAAGATACAATTTCAGAAACACAGATAAGTATCCATATTAAATGGAAGAAAGTGAATCATTATAAGCAATCGTCAAATGGATATTGAGAAAACAATTCGAAACACAAGGCTGTAGAAAAATTACTAAAAATAAAATTCAATACTTGGAGTAGTGGTAACATCGAAATCGTGACGACAAACGCAGTTGTGGAAATGGTGTTAGCAAAATTACAAATAACGAATGATAATAACGGAAATGTCAGCAATTAGAAATAATCTTTAAAATAAAGTTAACCGAGGATGATCTAAAATGGTGTTCATGGAAATTATATGATCAATTAATCCATAAGTCTCACACATCCACTGAAGAAATCAAAATGGCATTCGTAAGCAAAATCCTAATTACATATGAGAAATTGAATCATTTTAAAGAACTCGCTGTATGGAACAGTCCGAAAAAAGCAAGTGGAAGGCACTAAAACTTTCACAAACAGTATGATTTATGATATTGTTTTGAGGATATAGTTGAGCTCCTGCAAACTAGTGATTTGGAACTATACCGATGGGAGAAGATCTTTCGGGTACAATTGGAAGGAACCATTTTAAGGTTTATTCCAGTGATAATTACGAATCTGATCATAACGTTGGTTGCGCATGATTTACAAAATATTTAAAAATGTTTGAATTTGAATACCATTTGAATAAATTTGAATACCCTTATTCCACATTTCTCGGTATCAGTGACGCCCATTTTTAAATTGTTTAACCCTGATTCGAGTTTACAAACTGACCCTGAACCAGATCAATTACAAGATTGTGGCCCAAGATGACCCACTAATTATATTTATGTTTCGATCATTTTGTTGTGAACAGGCATGCTCACATTATGATCAGTGATGAAAAACAAAAAAATTCCCAAAATTAAAAAAAAAACACAAAAAATAGAAATGTTCCCACAAATAAAGAAGAAATTTATGAGGAGGGCAGCAAAAGATCACGGTCGCTTTAATATGCTATAGACTTATGAGAAGAAGTTTTAAAAACCTATCTGAGTACCCTCTACGTCAAGCCTCCAGTGCCGGACCGTAGTTCAAAACGTACTTCACTCGTTATGCTGGGATGTGATATGCTTACTTCTGTTATCTATCCTCACATACACTCAACTTTAAGTTGAAAACACACATATTCATCTGTCCGATTTCTGCTATTAAAAGTTCAGTGATGATTTTCCTTGGAAAATCTAACATATCTTCACCATGAATTTACGAATGACTCAGTCTTGAAGCTTTTTGGTTGACAAACTGGTCCATGCTCCTTGAAATTACAACGAATTCGATGTTTATTTAGACGGGGAAAACGGTAAGTTATGAATGGAGAACCTCTGAAAATTCTAAGAAATAACCCGAGTCAGTTTGGTCCATCCTCAGCACAACTATGAGCCCCATCAAATGCTAATTGTGAGTTGAAACCTAAGACTGAATGGAGCAAATAGGGCTAAATTCCGTTATGATGGTTTCTTCAGTCTCAACGGACTGTATGTTTATTATTGCCTCATTTTCAGATGGTTGCTGAATGGTGTGAAGTGGTGATCTTCTCTTACTATCCCAAGTGGAACAATTCATCTCAATTTCTCGTAAAAATATGAGACCAATATCGATGTTGTCAACTAACGAGTTGGAAGATTTACATGCAATTTCTCGGAACAACTCATGCTTGCCCGAAGAGACTGTACGAATTCTCGATTTTATAACAAACAAAATGAAACTTTACGCAACACACACAAACTATTGATGTCGATACAACGCAACAACAAATGTCAATTCAATGCTGCGTAAACATTAACGGCATACGTTGTTTTATCGCTTATCGTTTTAATTTGTTCATCTCTTGTAATTTCTTCATCTTCTCGGCGAAGTATTCATTTACGGTTAACGAACTTCGAATCACATTTCCTTCGTCTAATTTCGGTTTTTTCAACTCCTGTAAAATTTAAAATTACCATGCATTTGCATTCTAATGTCTTTCATGTTTTTTGTTCTGGTCTCATTCTATAAAACACTTCTTTTGAATGACGTTTGATGATGTATTACACACTTTCTACAGTTATTTCCGCCAAGTGAAGAAATAATTATTGAAGTTCGAGCTGGAGCCCTGACTGGAATTTAAGAAATGCGAAATGAAGTCAATCATTAGAAAATTCAGATCCGGAGTTGGAATCACAGCCGAAATAACAAAAATGCAAAGCTGGAGTCAGAGTCGAAATTCCGAAAAATGTGGAACTGGATTTTGTAAAAACGTGGAACTGGAGTTTAAACTGAAGTACGGATTTCAGAAGTGCAGAACTGCATCAGAGTGAATCTTTTCAAATTTGGGCATCACTCTTGAAATAATGAAGAATGGAATGTGATAAACGATGATACTGTAAACCTTATTATCACGGACTGATAAATCGTTAATCCCATCCGCTTCGATATGATGGCGTTTCTTGGTTCCGAATACTGCACATTTATCCTCTTCAGAATACTCACTCAATTCTTTAAATCGTCGATAGCTGAAATAGCAAGAACGATTTACGGACATTGTAGAGAAGGTTAAAATTGAGTAAACGGTTGGCGAACAATTTCGGTGCAACGTTTTTCGATGATGACTGCGATTGAATATGTGAAAACTAAGGCTAATTTCCAATATTCCGTTTTGAGAAATGTTGGAGGCGGGAGGGGAGGAAGGAGGGAGTGTAAAAATAGGATGGATGCATGTTTACGCGACTAAGGAAAGAGAGTGATGAAGAAGCCTCAAAAGCGCTCATAAGTTGCTTCGAAACAAGACAAAAAAAATTGGAGTAATTTTTTAAAAAATTGTATTATTCCATTTGATTCCAATTTTTTAAATAAAGAAATCGCAAGTTCGTGAACGTGAACACCACGGAAAATATCACTTGAATGAAACTATGTAAAAATTTTCTTCCAAACACTACCGAACTCTTGACCGACTCTTCTTTGATTTTTCACTGGCAACAACGTCATTCTTGTCCGCGTCACCCTCACCACCATCATCTTTCTTTTGATTCAATGTATGAAGAAGATTTGCAAAATCATCGTGATGCGCCACCCACGTATCATCATATGAACTTTCACAACCCAAACCTTGAAAATATTTGAAGTGGAATTTTTGCATTCGAAAAATTTTGAAATCATTCATTTTTTCCAGTTCGCATTCAGCAGCATGAAAAATGTAAATGTTCTCGAACATGTATACTTGAGATTGAAACTTTCAGGATTTGTACGATGAAGTAACTAACGCGAAAGCAACCGCTAAAGGAAAATTTAACGTTGCAGCAAAGAGACCTTTGCCAGAATAATTAGCTTTCAGTTTGATATTATCGTTCCTGCCTTGTTCTTTTTTGCCAAGTCCTCCGCCATCCTTCCAACCCATCTTTTCGAGCATTTTCGTGCCGAATTTCGATGAATCTTAAAATTATTATATCATTTTGCTTCATTTTCGTTCACATTCTTATGAATATTCAATTCAGAAATTCAGTTCAATTCGTTCACTTTAATTCATAATCACCGACACAACTTTCGAACTAACAAATTTAGTCTTCCTCCTTCAAGATGGACCTCGACTACTTAAAAACAAAAAGTAAAGCATTTACCATTTTTCCATTGAAGATTTCGTGGATCCACACTAATGCGCTGTTTACGACGAGGTTCAGCAAGTATCGACATACTTATTTTGAATCACCCTTTAATAGAAGCATTATCACGACAACAACAACAAATACTCATACTCTAATTCTCAGTTATAATAGTTCGAATCAGCCTTCGTATTTTACTTCAGCAGTCAATATAAATTCATGTTTCGTAACATTTTATTGTTTATTGGTGTTTCGAAACTTTTCATGCACAACTATGACTGCATTGTCACTATTATCTGCACAAAAATATACGTAAATACTCGAATAATGAGCACGGTTCTCTGACCAACATGATAAAAGTCAATTTATATCAAAAAATTTTTTCGCTTCGGCATAGTTTCGCATCAAATTATTCGACTAAAAAATCTGAGTAAATGAACACAGATAACTGAAATCAACGATATCATGTACCTTAAAATTTCGAGGATAGTCTCTGATATTCTGCTGGTGCTCTTCTCAGGGGAAGACTTATGCCGAAGACAGAAATTTATACTGATGTACTTGGATATGATATGGTACACACAAAAGAAAAAGTATCGAAACCAATTTCTCAAACATGATTTACGTAATAAAAGCAGTAGGACGACTCTATTTCACAATATTTATTCGTTTTGTATTTGGTTTGTCCGGCAGAGAAAGCAGAACTGTGCTTATCAGCTGTTCGACAAACAACCAAAATTCTAAAGTGTGAACAGCATCGATTAAGACATAGATTCGCAGCAATGAAAAATCAACATCATTAAATGAAAAACAAAAAACACCGTTTACACATTCATAAATCACATTTGTATTGTGCACAGAACAAATACAAGCCAAAACAAATAATTTGGAAAGTTGCTCAGCGACATTATGAAAACAAAACTATGCAAAAAACGGTCTAAACCGAAACACTAATGTTTCAGATATTAGATTTTTGCTAATAGAGAGCTTTTCATAAGATCACTTAAACTAACAGTTTTTGCCTCATGGGCGACAGTTGGGCTACTGAAGAATTAAATGTTAATTACAACTGTGAAGCTTTGAACAAACACCAGTCTGCTCGATGAGACCCGTTAGAATGAAATGAGATAACATAAACACAAACATATATACGTATATGGGCTAACAATATATTAAATTTATCACATTACGATAATCAATCCACGGAGCAGTTATTTGTGATAAAAGTTGAGATTAAAATTATTTAATAACGATTTGATATGAGAATTTCAAGACACTGACAAATACAATATTATCTCATGAAATGATGAAAATCTAGTTTTTTTGAATTTCATATGGAAATTAATATTATATTAAAAGTTAAAGATAAATCATACAAGTTTTTTCAAAGATTCAGATTATTCGTCAAACTTAACGCTTTTTGAGCTAATACTTTTGTTGATAATACTATCCGTCCTTTTAATAACGCTGATGAAAACAAGTTTGCATCGTAAAGATCACTGATATTCAAAAAACAATTGTTAAAATATAATGTTGTATTATCAGTTGAAAGTACGAGACGAAGGACAGCATTTACAAAGTGAATCAAGCGAGCACATCTGAACGGTTGGACGCAAACGGCTGCAAACTAACAATCCAAATTTCAGACATACCTAACATTTTCATTGGAGGACCTTGATATAAAGTACCAGCCGATACCAACAACTGCGTGTGTGATGAAATTTGATAAACACCATGAAAATATGGTAAGACGAAATAAGCAATCGGAGCGATAGTGTAAAACTGACCAGCGTGGGTGTGGCCTGAAATACTCGGTTGTCACGTCAACCGTTCGAAATATTATGATAATATTATCAGTAGCATAACTGAGACATAAAAATATCAGCTGTCAGCAACTACAAACTCTTGACAATGAACGGGATTTGGCATCGACTTGCGCATTCAGTTGAAGAAATACATTTTGATCTCAACAGTCTCAAAAAGTTGGCTTTATTTATAATGGACAAGCTACGATAACATAAAGAGAGAGCGAGTGTTTCTCAATGAAGAGAAACAGCATTCCGAAAAAGGAGAGATACCTGATAAAATAAGATCCACACGTCGATTTTGCGCATTAAAAGCGATCTGCTGGGCAGATGCAGGATTATGCGATAATACTAATATCGGTTCACTTTCGCTACAGTTGCTTAACGCAAGATCTATGTCGAACTTGTGTCCTTTTATTCTGCAAGAAATATTCAAACAAGTGACTAATTAAACAAGATTTAGATAAAACATTTTGAGTTCACTTCTAAGATGCACGTATATGTACTAAATCTCTTAGAAACAACCTCAAATAAAATCACTTTCCAATAATGATATATAAACGCGTCTTATGCAAATTAACAATAGAAAAACTGAGACACTCTAATAGAAAAATAAAACAAAGACCTAACCCACTATTACCACTCGAGTAATCGTTGACACCAGCCAGGCATAAACCGTTCAGATTAACACTCCTACAAGACAATGATTTCGGAACAGTTTAACCAAATTGATTGTTTTACGTATAGTATTATCCACGATATTAAGCAAACTGGATTCAATATTAAACTAATTATTTCGTTTTCTCGACGGAGTACAATACGCACTACTTTCTTAAGAACTACCTGCGACCAAAATAAATAACATGAAACGACTGCGCACACCTGCGTGTTAGCGGAACGACTGCACATTCTCGAAGATGGAACCGCATTAGATCCATCGATTACGAATGAATAAACATCCAATAGCACAATGATAATGTTTCAAAACAATAATGACGATCTGTCGAAGGCTTTCAAATACAAAGCATTCAATAAAAACAAGTATCAGTTTACCTATTGTCCAATACTTGAATTCCTAACGTTTTGAAAAATTCGAACCAATCTAACGCATTACCATAATAGTATTCATGATTACCAGTCACGTAAAACGTTCCGAATTTCGATTTCAAATACCTGTAACGCGCTATTCGCTTAACAAATGCAGTTAGAAAAATGCTGCAAGACAATACTTACAAAGAATATGACCATCGAACAAAAATCATGCGAAAAGATAACGTTAATAATGATAGACATATTTTTTGAAACGTAGCGATGATGAAAGCTGTAAAGAAAATAGATCTGACCCTAACGGCAACGTTCGACGCCAAACAGCTGATCGTGGTGAATCAATAATATCACCAACTAAAAATACTGCATCAACATTTTCTGAGTTGATTCGATCGACAACCTTAATCCCAATTAATTTCACGACTGAATTAGTTGAAAACATGATCAACCATTGAAAAAATGCAGAAACCACTGCTCACCTTTGCAACATGATCCTTCTTTACACTAGCACCAACGTGAATGTCCGATACTACTGCGAAACGAAGACCAACTGCTTGAGGTGGTAAATTTCTTATATGGAAAACCTGTTCCTAAATTACCATTAATTGCAGCAATGCAAAATGCGATGAATTTCGAAAGAAGTTTAGAAACCTTTTTGTGAGCCTTCAAAACATCACAATCAATCATTCCCCTAAGCCTAACCCAACAATTTTGCAAACGCAATATTTTCATACAAAAAAAAGAAGAGACAACAATAAGAAAGTGCAATATTCAATGTTTGAGCTAACCTTTAAAGAAAGCATATCAGAGCAGAGGAAAGTCAGAAGTGAAATGATCACGCCAACACTAACTGATATAATCACCTGTGATCGCGGCTCTTCAAATAACCACTTCAGAAATGTGCACCGAAAAAGAACTTTCACAAAGGTACGACCTGATGAAAATATCTGAAAAAAACAAGCTGAGCTAATTCGAATGTTTTTAATAGATACAGGTACTATTATACTTTGTAAGTCATCTCCACTAATTACTTTATATAGACTATCCAAAAAAAACATTATTACAGCAAAAAAGGGGGAAACCCCCTCAAAAATGAAGGATGATGAACGTCACTTGACTAAACGAGTAGTCGGCTGAAAAACCGTTGTTCAATCGGGAACCCATTCTGTGGAAATATTATAAAGTGACTCTTTATATAAAAGCATGATACAACTAGAAAAAATAATGAAAATGCGAACGGTAATGAATGAATTTGAGGGAACCAACATTCAAGGATGAAATACCGAGAGATATACAAAACAATACGAAAAGAATTGCAACAATATAATTCCATAAGCCAAGTGAAATCATCGATATATCAAACAATTGATTCTGTATCGAAGAGTTAACCCAATAAAGCGGAAAACCAATTTGTGCCAGCGATAACCAAATGATTAAGATCATAGAAACTGCAAAACGTCTCGGCTGAAAAAAATTTTTTCGCCATAATTCCTAATTAATTTCAGTACAACAACACTAATTCCAATCACAATTTATGTCAACAATGGAAAAAGCCTAAGTATTGGATGAAATTTGATAGATGCGAAAAATTACTAAATGTGGTAAGTTTTATGAGTTATTGAGAAGTTCTTCACAGCAATGGCTTGACTGAATGAAAGACAGCTGAAATAATTGAAAAAAAAAATACATTTAGTGAGAGAGGGCCCAACTGCAAACGTTTCTCACGTCTTGATAAATCATTTTTTGAGTTTAAAGAATCCATTATTCGGAAATAAGTGAACATGCTGAACAAAATCATCAGTAATTCAAATTTCACTACGGCCAATATTCGTCTTCGATTACCTTTCTCGAAGCCAATACCGTCGTTCACCTGAAAAAGAGATCAACTCATGAAGATATGCGGTGCGAACGACTAAAAGCATATCAAATCAAGCTTTTTGCATTTGTTTATAAAGAGTTTGCGCATATGTATTTTTGAATGACTTTCAGTATGTGCAGTTATATTCGGGCAAGGCATAAATGTCGGATGAAATCTGCAGCAGACAAACTGTTCAAGAACCATAATGACAGAGCAATGCAAAAGGCAATGACACCGACGAGATTTATCCTGCTAACAGAGATAAAATATATTTTGAAGTGCTTACATATGACGTCCCGAATCCAAAGGTTATGGAAAGACCGAGTAGCACAAATAATGCAACAAGCGTAGCACACCATTTCTCTGCAGCCATCTTCACCTCCAAACAACCGTAATTATCCAAGTAATTTTGAAAAGTGAAACAATCACTCGAAAACGCTCATAAAAAAAACACGCTCAATTCAGCGTACTCTTCAATATGGACGCCTTGCAGGCAATCAACATAGTGTTCGTTTTCGTTGCTACCGATAATCCTGCAGTTTATGTCAAGGAGAAAGGGAGTTTAATTGCTGACCGGTTGCGAAACGGTTGGTTTGTTGATCGCTATCGATTTACTCGATTACAATAACAATAACTTATTAATGTTTAGCAATAGACACTCTTAGAAGTCTCGAAAGAAAGTTGAATTCAGAAGATTTGCAATTTATTTCTGATAATTTAAAGCGCGAGAACTTCATCTGTGATATCCTATCATTACGTATTACTTGTTTGTAAATATACACTACTGATTCACGTCTCTCGCTTATTTTGAACGGTAATGCGAGAGAAATCATTAGAATTTCAAAGACGAAGGGAGTTCTGTTACCCCAACCACACAGAACACGCCTCAGCCATGGCATGCATGAAGACATTGTGCCACAGCTATCTTCGTATTAACAACTGCTTTCTCGAAGCATTTCAAATGAAATTAATTCGGTTTGAGTAAATAAGCATGCTCGCAGCTGATTGAGATCCATTCAACGAGAAATGTAACCAAGTCGAGCACCTCTTTCTCAAAA